ACTTAACTCGCTCAAGGAATTTGGCGTCGGAGGTCCGCCGACCACAATGCTGGCGGTGGCATTTGCGGTAGCCGCTGCTCCTGCCACTTGGCCTGTGGGCGTTATAGTGGCCCTTTCTCGATCTCTTGAATAGTTCTGCGGAACGTTGTGCGCAGATACAGAGATGCCCGGTGGCTGCTGGCCGGGCCCCACGGCAGTTGGCGCCGGTGAGTTGGTCACACTTACGTGGACATGACCGCCGCCTGGGGACTGAGACTGAGGTGGCGTCGCCTGCTGCTGAAGCGCATGGATCGTTGTCTGGGTAAGCGATGCTCCGCCGTGAGTCATCAGATTAACAGCTCCAGCGGATTGAATCTGAGCCACAGCTGCTGCAGCAGCCGCTGCTCCAGCTCCTGATGCCGATGTCAAAGTTGCCGCATTGGTCGTCTTAATCGCGATATGTCCAGCAGCTGACATTGGGCTGCTACCGGTGAGCATGTGCACCGTTCCTGTGCTTGAAGGCGCTCCAGGGGGAGAGGGCATCGAAACTACTGGAACCGAGCAGCCAAGAGCGTCCGAATGAATCTCGATCTTGTAGCCAGGTGGCAGGAACATGTTAAAGCCGTATATCAGCTCCGTGTGTCCCTTGAAGAGCGTGGAGACGCGCTCAATCACTCCGGGTGTGTCGATGCAGTGCGACTTAAACTCCTTCATAATGTCGAGGAAGTTGTTGTAGATCTGCGGCTGGTCAGCATACTGGTATTTCACCTGGTCCAGGTAGCTCAAAGCATCCTCCACTTTCAAGCGTGGCGTGGCATTACCCGATTGCCCCTGTGGTGGGGTGGTTCCACCTACTGGGATACTGTTGGCAACCACGGATGACGGAGGCGTTTGGGCGGAGGCTAAATTTGCCTGCTGACCTGGTTGTTGCTGGGACATTGTGGCCAGATTACCCACGGCAGTGGCCACCGTCTGGGTGCCGCTGATTGTGCGCTGGCGGATTGTGCCAGTTTGTGAGCTGCTGGAAACGGTCTGTGAGCTAGCAGGATTGCTCGCTCCTGCACCTCCGGTTACATGAATTTGTACGGTATTTGCGACATCCGCTGTGCTGGCTTTGAGAGTTCCACCCGCCTGAATGGAAGCCACGCTATATGCTACAGGAAAATTTAAACAAATGGATGTAAATAGCATTTCGACATGGATTGTAAGTGAGCACTTACATGTGGTATACTGCAATGTTTGGGTTCCCGTACTACCCGTAGAGACCACCACGCCTCCACCGCCGGCACCAGCGCCGACTCCTACGGCCACCTGGGCTCCTGCTCCTACAGCGCTAGTGCTGTCCACAATCGAGCTTGTGGTCTTCAAATTCGTGGCCGTCGGTGTGGTGGACGGTAAATAGGCAATAGTCTGGGCTCCTCCGTGCTGTGGTGTAAGGATGCGATGGTGAATGGAACCAATGCCACTAATGGTGGCGTTGTGGCCAGCACCGGGCACAACTGTTCCAATGGTCACTCCCGCCGTGTTAACGCCCACGGTGGCGGTACCACCGCTGGCAGACGTTGTCCCACCCACGACTCCTACGCCCACACCACCGGATGTAGGTGGACCGGGTCGTGTGCCGAACTGCACCTCGTCGACACGGGTGCGTTTCATCATCTTTTTCGTTGCCCTGTCCTTAGCGGAACCTCTAATCCTGTACTGCTCCTCCTACTTGCTGAGCACTTTGTGGCTCCCTGGATCCCTGCCCAAGTGCAAGGACTATCTGGCTGCTTTGTCTGAGTGGCCGCCCTCTATGAGCGTATGTAATATGCAACAAACGGTCGGGGTCGCAACTCTTGGTCTTGAAATGCTCGTGGATGCGACATATGTTGTCTATACATTTGGTCGCTCCGCAAGCGGCAAATGCGCTCGAGTTCTAGAGTAGAGAAATTATCTGCTGGTTATCTACGCCAGTGATTCGCGTCCGCCACGTAGCTCCTGGAGTTCTTTCTGGAAAGCACTGTAAATAAAAAGAAAACGATTATAAACTAGGTTGGTACCAAGTACATTAAAAGGCACTTATTTATATATTCAACAAAATTCTTTCTTTTGAGGGCTATAGTTTACAAATTTCAATAAGACCCTTTTGTTTTTTTTATGAAATCTGTCGTATTTTTTAAGCGTAAGGAAACATATATTTATTGAATGAAGAGATTTCATTGGATTCATTAAATTTGACAACGTAATGGTTACTAAAGGGTTCCTAAACAATATAACACGATTATTCCACATTTCCCCGAAACTGGTTTGCTAATATAGCACAGCTGTTTGATCAATTTGGTCTGTCTATATCTAGATATCTCTTCAAAACGATTGCAGAGTCCAATAAAAATGTAGAGTAAAAAAGCACACGGCGAAATTCTTCTTTAGGTGTATCACAAAAACTATAGAGTCTAAAACGATGTCATTGTATTGGATATTGAATTCGGAGAAGAGAAAGGTGAAGAGCATAGGAATGGAATGGAATGGTGGAGCTCTGAGCAATAACAACAGCTAGAGAGTGGAAGGAGATCGGAGTGGAAGTTAAAACTCGGAGGAGAGTGCAAGTAAAAAGGAGAAGTTTACTTTGGTGTGTGTACGTGCAACCGGAATTGGGCGCGCGCTTTGTTGTTGCTTTTAGCGGTACAGTAAATACTTCCTATGAGAGCTTTCTGTATACACCTCCGTTTGCGTGTAAGTGTGTGTGATATAGATGTAGAAGGTGCCAAATGCCCCATGCACGACATCGCTTGCATAGAATTCAGATGTATATATACCAACACCGCCAAGGGGGCGGAAGAAGGGGGAGTATTGCTGGTACATATTCTGTATCTACAACTTACAAGAAGAACAAGAAGAAGAAGCAGCACCAAACGCAACAATGCAAAGGTGGTGGTATTTACGGCGGTGGTGGTGGTGGTGCAGCTACAAAGAGAGTCAGAGAGAGAGGGACGCATTTGTTGTTGAGGCGCAGTATGATTTGCCTGATTTTTTTCTAAAAGGTATTTCACCCGTTTGGGGCCAAACACACACACACACTGACGCAGCAAGCATTTGGCGGGCAATCATGAGAGAGAGAGAGCGCAAAGCTGCGCAGGCCAGAGAGAAAAAGAGAGAGTAAATACAAGGTGAATGGAAACCGCCTAGAGGATCAGATCATCCTGCTCCAACCTATTGAAACATCCCATCACAGCCAACAGCTGCCCCATTTTAGCATTTGTAAACAAATATTGGAGCACAGTACAGCCGCACAAAAGCTTAGAAGCTCTCCTTCCGTGCCACCACCAACTATCCTTAAAAAAAAAAAGGTAAAACAAGTTCGCTCTTTGCGCTCTCTTAACTGCCTTTTTTGTTATTGTATTTTTTGGATCCGCCATTAGTGCATACCAAACATCTTTGTGTGTGTGTTTGAATGAGAGAGGCTCCAAATTGGGGCGTTGTGCGTGTGTGTGCGAGTGCTTAGGGGAGACATGTGGGCAAATTTTCCCTCCATTTTTTTTTGTTCAGCCCGCTCTATTACGTGCACACGTATAATGTTATCTTATCTGTTTTGTTATGTGTATACACAGCACAGAATACGCAGCACAAAAGGCAGGCAGCGGAAAAATATGCCAAAATTTTTAGCACTCGATTTCTTAAACAACTGCAATACGAATCATCCCGAATTAATATTTAGTTTTTGAATTACTTTCTCACTCTTCTGGCACACTCACACACACACTTGCAGACTGTCGCTGCGCTATTAATAAATTTTGCAAATAAAACATATGGATGTATAGAGAAATATGTTCAATATATATATATACTATTTCAGCAAACGTTTTGTGTAAATTTTAAAAACGAAAGCAAGAACAACAAACGACGGATGTGAGATGAAAAGAAGAGGAGCAGAAAAAAGATGTGAGCAAAAGGGAGGCCCACAAATGATGCTCTCATTGGGGAGCCATTTAAATGCACACTCACACCAACGGACTGTGGCTCTCGCCAGTACATGCGAATGGCGCATCAAAGCAAAAGTCGAGATAAGCGCACGAACCGAGCAAAGAACGAATCAACGAACGAAAATAAAACGACACTACGTTGAAAAAATACAGTCAGTTCATAAGCAAGCCAAAAGCAATGGTTCAAAGCGCGCCTATGTGTGTGTGGCTCTCCTCTCCACCCTCGTACGTGTGTGTGTGAGCAGAGCAGCAGCAACACAAACAACAACCACGTCGCTGTCGACGACTTTTTGTCTGTGCGCCTTCTATATGTATTCGCTATGGCTCGCAATGCGACTGTGTGTATGTGCGTGCGTGTGTATATAAACCAATTGAAATTGACCTAACCTAAAAATGTTGTATTTTTCACAAGTTTTCAGTGGCACAAACACGAATGTTGTTTGAATATCCGCGCACCAAGTGCACTTGAAGGATATTTCTATGCACCTTACACGCCTTCTCCGCCCTTAACACTTACATCAGCAATAAGCAATAAGCAGTTAGCTTCGTCGGTTGATATTCGGCTGTGTGTATATTCAAAATGTATGTATGTATGTATGTACTGGGCGCGTATGTATATTTACTACAAAACTGCCGTTGGCTTGTGTTATTGGAAACTTTCACGTTTTACGCAGTAATTTTTATTTTGCACTTGCAACTACTATTTCCGCACTCACTACTGGCACACCGAAATTTTAATTTTCACCTTCTTGTTTAATGGTTTTGTGTGTTTTTAGTTTTACTTTTATTTCTATCACTTCGCACTTGTCTCCCCTTTTCAGCAGATCAAACTAGGCGATTTTAGACATTTTCTTCTCGGTAGATTTCTACTGCTATTCACACAGTTTTGGCGAGAAAACGTTTTCGTACATCCTAACGCCGCCGCAAACATTTTCGATTAAAATTGAACGGCGAACCAACGACGGCCAGTCAGTCGGAGTCAGAAAGAGAGAGAGAACGAAAGAGAAAGAGCGTAAAGGGACCTTGTGCTCTCCGAGAGCGAGTGATGGAGAGAGGGAGAGTGCGCGCGCGCAGTGTTGCTTTGGAATTAATTTTCTGTCGCCTCTGCTAAAACAGGGTGGCAACTCAGCGGCGCAACAACCAAGTACCTCGGTCGCGCGCATTGAAAACAATGCGATTGCTACTATAAAAAATGGTGCATAAGTCACCTATTAGTGCACAATAACTGACAGCAGTTACTTGTACTCGCCATTGCTTACCGCATGCAAATCACATCAAAATGGCGTTCAGAATTTGGATAAGAAACGAACGACGGAAAGCTTACGTAAGTGCAAAAAGCAATAACAACGTTGGAAGGAGAGAGGAAACAAGTCTGTAAGAAAACAGGGTGTCTTTTACTTATAACCATGTGGCCTGTGATCAAATCACATTTTATGAACGGGACACCCTGTTTCCGCCAAAGAGAGCGGCAGAGAATAAACACAACGAGTATTCAAAAAGCAACAGCACTTTGGAGAGATAGGGTGTTTTTTTTTTATACAGCCATGTGGCTAACAAGCATTCACACTAACGAGCGAAACACCCTGTTTCCGTAAAAATGAGCGTCTGGGAGCGCATTGCACCCACACAAACACACCGAGCCTTGTATACAGTGGAAAGCGACGTCGGCAGAGCGGACTCAGCCGACTATTGCAGTACATAATGAAATCGACAAAACCGAAAATCAGAAACCAAACGGACCACTAGCGAGCTACAACTCTGCCACGGCTACACTTTACACACTCATGTACTCCTCCACCTCGCTTACCAACCCACACACACACAAAGGCGTGCGTGCGGTGAGAGGCAGGCAGAAAAAAGTAAAAAAAAGCAAAGTGCATCTCACCATGACAATGGCGGAACCATAAAAACACATGTTTCCATCTTGAATCGAAGCGAATTCGGCGGCTTACCTCCTTCAAAAAAAAAACAGGCGAAAAATATCTGTATACGCGAAAAAGCTAAGCTGCTAAAAATGCGACATGGAAACCTTGCAGTTATCGATTCGCCTCGCTCATTGCGCAATGAAAAATGCAGCGGGGGCGGCAAAAGAGTAATCGAGAGAGAGAGAGAGACTCTTTTTTCTCTTTGAGGCACCTGCAGCGTAGGAAATGCAAATCCGCCTTCTACTTTCCAGCTCAAAAGTTCAAAGTTCACGTGCAACCAACTACTGGGTGCAGCGCATGCACCGAAATCCCCGGACCGAAAAAAAGGGACAAACAAAAAACGCTCCGACTGACAAACTCCGCAGGAAGGTTTGTTTGTCATTCCATTGGCTGTAATTAAGGTTTTTTTTTTGATAATATTGCCAGGTGTTTTCGAATGTTCTAATTATTCCTGTGCTAATTTCAGATTGCTTGACTAGTGAAGACTACAAAGGGAAATGAACCAGTTATACAAAATGGATAAAGTGAAATAATCAATGCGATGTATCTAATCCAGGTTTACATAATTCCAAATAGTTGAATATTAGTACGAGGTCAGAAAATGATCAGATATTGTGTTTTCTCCTGCGTCACCTGATTCTTAATGTGATGAATACTCTTTAACTGTATAAATAGAGTCAAGCTTTACAAGTTTGGGAGAATTAAAAATCGATTTTGTCAGTTTTTAGACATTTTTAAATCCGTGAGTCTTTTTTTCTGTATGATTAAAAGTTATTAATATGTTTACAATAATTGTTACACCCTAATCTATACATTTAGCTTTTGTAGGGAGGAAAAGGATACTTTTAATAATTGTAAAAAAAAGGTACTTTTACCTCTTTTTAAATTAATCTATTTAATAGGAGTGCAAATTAAGTTTGTTAGAAGATCTTTTTCTCTATTTTCCAAAACAAACCCTTGTTTATACTATTTTAATACATTTAAAATAATCACTGGAACATAAGAATGTTTTCGAATAATTAATTATTAAATATTTTAGATTTTAGAAGCAATCATGTAAAATCTACAAAATTTTAAAGATCTTAAATCCTATAGAAAAAAATTCATTTCGTATTCTCCAATTTGTCTATACAATAATACCCAAGACGTGCTCCAATTAAGACATAAACAACGTCTAATAAACTTCAACTTCTTTCCGACCATCAAGTTCAAGACTTGTTCGTTGGCCTCTGGCAAAAAGACAATTGTAAATTGCAACCAATCGCTTGGCGACGCGGCAAGTGTAGTGTATTAGTTTCTCAGGAGAAAGATCAAGAGAAGTGTGTGAAGAGTGCCAAAACTGGGGAGAGTTTCAGTTCAGAAGTAACTTGATTTTCAAGTTTTTCAAACGGCCGAAACGAGACTTTAAACCAAGCCGGTCGAAACTTGAGGCGCTTCACAAGAAAATTTGAGGAAAACGAGGAAAGCTCGGCAAATATATGTATGTGTTTGTGAATCTCAATTGGACCTCACAGAAGCAGTGAGCCCGATTTCAACGAATTATTTAATTAGAATCAACGTAAGCCCGCAAATTGAAGGCTGAACTGCTGTCTCGCTCACCTTGTATACAAACACACACCTGGACCAAAAGGGTAGCTAGAGCTGCCAACTCTTTATGCCATTTAAAAACTGATATAATATGCATATATTTATTTCCTTTAATGTGTAGCCGTGTTTGTAAAACATTAACTTGCATAAAATTCGTGCTTGATTTTTGTTTAAGAAAATAAATTAAAGTGGCCCATAAAATAAAGACACAGTTTTAATTTGAAAAGTAGTGGAATAGGTTTTTAAAAATAGGAACGGTTCGTATTTCAACAGTATAGATTGACATTTTTTATATGATTATTTAAAAATATCCTATTTCTTGAGGATAACCACTTAATGATACATTTTGAACGAGTTGGCAGCTCACGAGCGAATGAACGCAACAATAACAAAAGGTGAGCGCGCTAAACGCGCTCTATCTCTTTCACACATACACCTCGGTGTTTTGATTGCCTTCGTTGTGTGTGTGTCTGCGTCATTGTTGTTGCTGTTCTCAATACCTTCCTTTCTTATTTTTATTTACTCTCCGAGGCTTTTTTTCTTTTTATATTTTATCAAATCAAAGACAATTAAAAATGTTCACACACACAGACCCACGTCTCAACAGATGGCGGAACTTTGTGTTTTTATGTATTCAGCAAGTCGATAAGAGCCATTTCCACAAATATACACATTCGCACACCATAATTAGGGCTGTAACTGTAATTTCAGCTGGATAGGCCCATTGATAAAACCTCAATTTCTAAACGTAACTAGGAAAATATTTCGGGACAAAATCGGAATGAATGCATTATTTTGAAATAACTAATGCCACTGGAAGGTTCAGTTGCCGCCTAGCGTAATCAGTTGCGGCAAATTGAGGTTAAGTAAAAAAATATTCTTAGCACCCACTCACTCACTCACACACACGAATACAAGTGCGCGATTTTTTCTCTATTTATTACTTACCTTTTTAATAACTGAAGTTTGTTTCGTTTTTTAAGCCTTTTGGTTTATTTCTCGCTTCTGCCAACTAGCTGATTTCTGGAAACTTTTAAATTAATTGCGGCTAAAACTTTCAGCTGCTAAATGTGGGAGGGGGGAGAGAGAGGAAGAGAGTAGCGCGTGAGCTGCTGCTTCTTCTTATTTTTACATTTGCAACAAACACATGCAAACACTCGGCACTGGGAATCGATTTAGTGCCCCAAACTCTTTCTTTTTGTAATTTTTAAATTTAATGCACGTAAATTTACACTCGTGCTTTAGTTTATAAAACTCCACACATGCACGCACACACGCGGCTGCACAGGCGTATATGTATGCGTAATGTACAACCCCACGCCAGGAACTCAGAAATTTACATTTTGCTTGCCGAGATCTGCTATATATTCTTCAATATTGCGCGCTGCGTCTGATTTAAGCACTTATTTGGGTTACTTTGACTCTGGTGTTTAAATTTAATTAGTCGCACAGCCGTGAAAAATGACCAGCAAGTTACAAAAAAATCCCAACTCGGCTTGCGTGCGCGTGAGTGTGGGTGGTCCTAAAAGACAACAGGGCTGCAGAAGCATCCGAACGAAAAATACCGAATTGGCCAGGAAAATACTAGAAACTAACGCTGGATTTTATCGAAAGTCAAAATATCAATGGTATTCCCATAAAATCAAGAAAATGTTAGTGTTATTATTTAGTTTTTGGGTGTTTTTCTTATTATTTTGTATCAGTCTTTCTTTATTTTGTATCTTTGTATTTTAGTTTGTTTGTCATTATTATTATTTATAATTTGTTCGTTTTTACTAATATTTAATCTCTCAAATACATACAGCTATTATATGTTCTAATAAAATAAATTTATTAAACTTTAATCAAATAACATTGCAAATTAAATAGTCTGTCACCTTTCTTTTAACGACAACGTTTTTAATATAACTTGAATTTTGCTTAATAATTTATTCGATGTAAATTAGTATTGTGTAAATAATCTTTTCGCAATGTGATAATAAAAAGTAAACAAGAAAGGAAAGCTAACTTCGGGCGGAGCCGAAGTTGATATACCCTTGCAGAATACTCTGTAAATTATATTCTCCAAAATTATTCATATGATGCATTCTTAATACTCATAAAAAATCCCGACTTCCTAACTTTAAAAACACCAAAGTTATGGCATTTCCAATCGTTCAGTTATATGGCAGCTATAGGATATAGTCAGCCGATCCTTATAAAATTTGGTAGGTCGGATTGATTGGCCAAATATAAAACCCATAGAAAATTCCAACTTCCTAACTTTACAAACACCAAAGTTATGGCATTTCCGATCAATCATTTATATGGCAGCTATAGGATATAGTCGGCCGATCCCGGCCGTTCCGACATATATACTGCGTGCAAAGGAAAGAAGGGTGTGTGCAAAGTTTCAATTCGATAGCTTTAAAACTGAGAGACTAGTTTGCGTAGAAACAGACAGACGGACAGACGGACTGACGGACATGGCTATATCAACTCAGGAGGTGATCCTGATCAAGAATATATATACTTTATAGGGTCGGAGATGACGCTTCTTGCCAGACAGTTGGGGTCGGCGAATCCCCTGTCGTTACCTGAGGCTGTAACACATTATATTTTCTTCTTGAGTACTTCCTATCCTGGTCTCAATCCCCTCAAGTTTTTCTTCTGTCCTTTTCAGCATCGCCAGAGTTGAATTGAGTTGGGCAGCTTGGTTACTAATCTGCTTAAGGAGGTTGGCCTTGTGATCATAAAGAGGGTGCAGTGCAGCCTGATAAAATTACCCACACTGAGTTGGGGCGTCCGTTACAATACACACGTACTGCCCTGTGAGAGCACCATGCCGTGGAGGTTAGGGTCCTCCTCTGAACAAAAAATAAAATCTCAGTCCGAACATTTTAAGAGCAAAAAGTACCATGAAAGGCTAATGTTTTCTATATACTGGATTTTTAATTTATTCGCTGACTTTGGAGGAGTAGCTTTAATAAGCACGATTTAGTCCCACATTTATTTATCATATTCTGGCAAAAAATATGATATAACAAGAAAGGAAGCTAATTTCGGCAAGCCGAAGTTTATGTACCCTTTCAGTTATTACAAATCGACTACATTTCGATTTCTGTGCCTATGTTACTAAAAACAATGAGACTATGTCGATTTTGCGCTGTATTTTGCCATCGTTTCTATGGCAGCTATATGATAATGTTGTTCGATTTTAATTTAATTAAAACCGTAATTCCATAATATTTAAAGTACACAACAAATTTTTTTTACCTGCAGTAGAAATACAACTTTTGGGAAAGTTTCAAGCAGATATCTTTAAAACTGAGGGACTAGTTTGCGTAGAAACGGACGGACGGACAGACGTACGGACGGACAGACGGACGGACGGACAGACGGACATGGCTAGATCGACACTCATGGTGATGCTGATCAAGAATATATATATACTTTATAGGGTCGGAAAACTCTCCTTCACTGCGTTGCTTTTGACTGAAATTATAATGCCCTCTGCAAGGGTATAAAAATCTGATATTTAAAGGCCCTAGTCCGATTTTGATAAGTCGCCTAATCAGAGTACATTTTAAAAAATAAAATAATTTTGATTTAACCTTGGAAAAAATATTAATTATATGGCCGAAGCAAACACAATGTAATCTAATATCTTATTCTTAGGAGAATTATATATTAGCTATTTATTTATTTACGTACTTCTTATTTTATGTACTCTAAATTGGTTTAGATTCCTTAAAAAAATTTTATATATAAGCAATAGACACAAATTAAGTTTGTCCGATGAATATTAATATATTGCTTTAATAGTGTTTGACATCTGTATTAAGTTTTATGGATTATTTTAGGATACCATTGGAACACCGGCAGTTTTCCGTTAAGAAAATGTATTATTGTGAAGGTTCATGTTTATGTGAGGCTTGGTGTTAAATTGTCATTGACGTTATATGTCTTACTTTAATTTCTTTAGCGCAAAAAATTGTTTTGTTATTTTTATTTTGAGGGACGAGAAAAAGTTGAAAAAAAGTTACTTTTTAAGTTATTGCAATTTTTTTAATTAAACATTCAAGGAAGTAATATAAACTTTTATATTTAATAGCTACAGGGAAAACGATTTATGACCTTTTAATGTTAAACAGCAATTAAATATTATTATTCCTAATTTGATGTATTTTGGTCCGTTAAGATAGTGTAACTATAATGTTTGTCAAAATTCACTAACGCATTAACGATGATTCTATGGCTTAAGTATGTGCTTACCCATACACTGGGTTTGAAACACCGATGTGTCCACACTGCTGTCTTTTTTAGTGGCTAGGGCATTACTAGGGTATTTCAGCGCGCAGCCACACTGCACTTCTCTGCCGCAGCGTCAGGTGGCTTGAAATCGCGTTCCTCTCTCGTTTATTCGCTTTCATTCGTTTTATCACCACTGTCGTCTTCCACGCACATTCGCAGCGCCATCCGTCGATTTACGTGCCATTTGTTTTGAATTTTCCGAGTGAACTCGACGCGCCCGAAAAAGTCGCATGCCAAATAGCGGTCCGAATATCGTTAACAAGTGTGTGGGTCGGGTTGTTTAGTTTGTTGAAACATAAACACAACACTCGGCTGTTTATCGTGCATTTAAAGTTTCCCGCAAACGGAAAACTGTGTGCTTTCCAGTTGTGCCAATAAAAGGAGGGGAAAAGTTCCGTTGCCCGGCCCAGTGCATCTATACAATAAATATAGATATTCAAGTTAATAAATAAAATTCCCACTTCAACGCACTGAATGTCCGAGAATAAAGGCATTATGCTGGCCAAATCTGTTCAAAAACACGCTGGACGTGCCAAGGAGAAGGTGAGTTTGGAGTCGAACTGCAAATTGCAACGCCCACGCAAGGTGGGAAGGTCATGAAACCCACCACCGAACTATGCACCACCCCCTGAGAATCCGACACCACCACCCACCCCGTAATCGTCGTTAACCAAAGCATTCCAGCCATAATCGTGTCCCTGTCCTAGTTATCCAGCTGGGTCACCTGCACTTGCACATCTCCACCGATTTCCAGTCCAGATCTCAGAGGGGTTTCCACTAAATTATTGCCCATATGCAGTCAAATTTGTATAATCGCAAAGACCAAAAAACACCTGTCAGGATTCAACAATTATTTTAACAATATAAGAAAATATAAATAAATACAGTAATCTTCTATAAAATTCCAATGATAAAAAACATAAAAAATGTTTTTTGACCTTCAAAAATTAGTTTTATTGTTTTGTAAAAAAAAAACTTGTGGGATTAAAGTTCCATCAATAAAAGTCTTCTTCTGAAAATTGTTAGAAAATATTTTTACATAAGATTTAATTTATGTGCCAAAATAAATTTATCAATCAAGAGATTTTGATAAATTAAAAGCTATTAATTTTAAAATGAAAAAAATTTAAAAAAAAACTTTTTTTTTAAGGCCATACAATTCTTTATTCGGAAACTTACCCCAGTTAAACCTAAAAAAAGAGGTTATTGATTTAGTATCTCACTTTTAGTAAACTACTTCGAAAGTGGGTCTTATGTTAAAAAAAAAGATTGTCCACCTCCCACAAAGATTTTCCCTTAAATAAATAACCCAGAAGAAGAGGAGAATGTCAGACACCTGTCGCAGTTTTAAGCCAATCCCAGCTTCTCCGATGATTTTCATCTTTCCCATTCATGAGATGCGCCTGTTGGATTTTTGAATGTTTTTCATCTTTCCGCCAGTGCGTACAAGTGAAAGTTGTGTTGTTGTTGTCGTATTATTATTATTGTTTTTGTTGCGTTCGATGCGGCGAAATGTCAATAAAGCGGGGCCCAAACAACGTGTAAAAGCTGACCCAAAACGGGTTTAGATGCCTTCACTTCACTTTGGTTCGACGGGCGCATTCCAAGATCTCCAGACCAGAGTGGTTCGGCGGCTGAAAATGCTGTAATCTCAGCCAGAGCTATAGAAACGCTGCTATTGATTTCTATGTATATCCGTGTGAGTTGGCATTTGGGCCTGATTTCTAAAGTTCGTTGGTATTTGAGGTCTTTTTTGGGATGCGACCTGCTCGTGTGTTGGTCATTAAACTTGGAACTACAAATTCCTCGACTAAATGTCACCGTGAATAAGTTTTAGAAGCAGAGGACTTGGATAGATGTTTGCGAGAATTATATGTCAGGAAATGTATTTATTTTGTCGGTTTGAATCAAGTTTTTAAGTAATCCAATAGTAAAAACTTTTTTGTATCTTATGAATTTATAAAACACTAATTAAAGAAAAAGTTTCAAAGGCCTAATCATAACTACATTAGTGTAGAAATAAATACCTAATTAAATTGATTGTCACCTATTTTTTTAAATACCTCCCCCAGAAAATTTATAATTTCATTTGGTTCTTTTAGAATATTTTAACATTAGAATTAAATTTCTTTCTCTTCGAGAAATATAAATTATATTAAAACAAAAGTTTTTCTGATCTTTCGTTTTTTTATGGAACTCCCGAACTAGCTTAATTTTCGGCCGGCTCTCTGGTCTAGTTTATTTCATAATTTTCCCTGTACAAATTTGAAATTTATTTTTAACAAATTTCGTTCTCTGGGCGGAATTCACATAGCTTTATTATTTCGCATGGCGTGTGCTCAATTTTCGAAATTTCTGCTTGTGATTTTTCACATCGAGCTTCTTCGCAGAGAAAACTTGTCAAGCGCACACAGGCAAGCGAACAGCATCTTGTGGATGCCTAGATACATTTTTATTTGAGGTGCGTTGAATTTTCCCCCGGCCCAGTCAGCCGCGTGAAAATGTCGCCGTTGCCGTCGCCGACGTCGCTTTTCCTGCCAGTAGTCAATCTTTAAATAGATCTCGCTCTCCTCTGAATCTTCTGGGTGTGTGTATATTGTGTATTGGGCTTTTGTTTTATAACTCTACGCATACTTTGCCTTTTAGTTTTTCTAAGTTTTCTATTTGGCGAATGGGAGGAGCAATGGGGAAAGCACACAAAATTTCGCTCGCGCCGCTTTTCTCGCTTTTCTCGCTCCCTGGCTGTTTGGCTATTTTTAAGCGGCATCGCACAACAGCTGCCAAAAAGTGCCCTCCCCTCGGACATCCTCATCCTCGTTTTGGCTCGATGCAGTGCATCAGCACCGATTGACATTTTATTGGCAGTACTCAATCCAAACTTGCCTGTTGCTTATTGAACTTCTTGTTGCATGCCGACGAAATGTCAACTGTTTTTGGGGTTTTATTTATACCACTCTGCTCTCTGCAATTCAAAATCAATGCGAAATTCGCTGTTAATTGCAATTACTTGAATTCTTAGATGATAAATATAGAAAATTGGGCCTACAACTTTTTGGTGGATTGAGTTGTTTCTAAATTGCCACGTTATAGTTTGAGAAATTTAGATATGTGAATAAACAAATCCAAAAGTTTTCTTATCATATTAATGCTGATTATTTCTCTTACAAGAGCTTTTTTAATACTTCCCTTATTTTGACATCCCTCGCCATTTTATTGCTGATTCCAACAGTGATATTAAATTTTGCATTGCGAGTATACAAGTTCTTAATAATTCCAAACCGATCGAAATTGGAAGCACAAATATCAAAACTTAACAAATACGTGGAATCATTTGGCGGCTGATTTCAAGAGTGGAAAGAACAACAAAAAAGGGCATGTTTACAAGTAGGTAGCGTAAACATCTGACACTGCACTTTGAGACATTTGAGGGGTTGTATTATATATCTTGTTATATGGGCTCAATTCATTATCGAGTGCTTACGCCCCCTTTTATCCAGAGGGGCGTTTTCAAAAGTGCTCGCCACAGATAGCTCCTATTCAAAAGCTCTATTTAATCGAGCGTGAAGCAATCTAAACGTCAGAGACGGATACAAAATAAAGATACAGATACAATAATGCGACAGATGTGATTGTTAAAAGTTATGCACACTGGGCTTATTAAAAAAAGAGTGTTCAATTATTGAAATTGCCAACAATCGCGCATGAAAGTGAAGGAAACGGAGGAGCTGAGTCTTTTGTGTCACATTTTGATTGCATAACAATTGGAATTACTTCACAGCGGCTAACTTTGCCTCATTAATGCACAATTGTGCAGTTTGTTGGAAAAAGCTGAAAGATAAGCTAATTGGGTGTGAAGTTCAAGTGTTAGTCATGAAACTCTACTATCCACCCCCAACAAATTCTATTTAAAGCTGCAGTTTGTTGTTTAACCCAAAAATGAACCATCACAAGCACAAGAAAAACGAAAACAAACTTTTGGAAAATGTGTGGCGCGTGAAAAGACGCAAGGTCAATTACTGCCGATGTCGATTTGTACACTAGAGTCCAAATGAACGCATACCCATACTGGTTCACTCGAAAATCACACGGCCACAGGTCGTATACGTAGCTTTTTATTGGCTCACTCACTCAACACACACTCTTCGCCGTCGATTTGATAATCAGAAATCGGACTGGGACTGGGACTTCATATTCTGAATGGGTCTCACCTTGCCCACTCAAGCGTACAAGTTCATAGAGTTCTTACAAATAATTCTCTGCATTTGGTTTGGTATTTTCAGTTGGTTTCCTCAATTAATGTATTTTGCGTATTTTAAATTTGGGATTAAGTACATAATTCCCTCTTAAGCTAAAGGGCATTGATAAGTCACTTCCAAAATTAGCTTGAGAAAAGATAACCCAAGCGTACAGCTTCATAATAATGTATTTTTTTGTAGCTTATAAATTCTGTACCCCTCGGAAGTGTAAGAGAAAAAGATAGTGAGACAAGTGAAAACTTTGAGAATTAAGATAAAAATGTGACTAACTGAGCAGATTTATGTATTATTATTATTTATTTTTTGTCGGTGCCTAAATAAATATGTTTAGAATTTCTTGGAATAATTGGATAGGCCCTGCAGAAACAACAAACATTTTTAATTTGTTACTTAAAGTAGTTTTTTTTTTAATAAGATATATATTTTAATTCCTGTGGCTAATATTTGGGTAAAATGTACATCTAATTGAACAATTCTATGTGTAAAATTACAATTTGGGATATAAGTTCACCACTAAGTATTAAATTATTCTCTTGCTGAATTGATTTTATTATTCATAAGAGCATTAAATGCCAGCAGCTTGAGTAGTTCCTATAAAGTGTCACCGTTTAAAAGTATAGAAAGATGCAAATGCTAATCTCGGAGAGCTGTGTGTTTTTATTTACCTGTCCGACCCTCAACCCGCCGACTGCTGCTCCAAATTCGAGTCCCGAGTTGGGAACCTGTGCTATATGGCCCCAAGTGGTTGGGCAAGTTGACTGTCGGATCTGCTTATGCACATAATACATGAGCATCGTATCTCCAGACTGTGTCAGAGGGAAAAAAGTATCAGATTTAATTCACTATTCGTATGCGGAAATGGGGAGGAAAAAAGAGAAAACCAGGGGGCTAGAACAAAAGGTAGTAGATCGGAAAACAGATCCCAACGCAGATACAGAGCACTGAGCACGCGATTTGCTAATGCAGCGCTGATGTTCTACTTTGAACTGCAAAAATAGAAAAAAAGGAAAAAAAAAAGGCTGCTGCCAAGGCATGGGAACCCACTTCTCATACTGCGAAAGTGTTGTCAGTGAGTTAACTTGTTATAATAATTATTTTTATTTTCTACTGTTGTCTTGGGTGGGATTGCAAAACCGGTTTGCGGGCCCTAACTGCGTTTCAGCTTACGCAATCAGCGGAATTTAATTTATGAATTTAAATATAAATGGAAATGCAAATGCAGCTAATATAGATGTTGAAACTTTCTTTTTGTTGCCACAAGAGTGGGAATATGTTACTAAAATATTG